TTTATGAACAAATTCGGAGAAGCATTGAACTGAAACTTTTATCATAAAATTTCGATATTACAGCGTTTATGTGGAGAAAACCATTTCCACTACCGAAACCGGAAAAATAAACTGACCCGATTGAATGGAGCTGTCCGTCAAAGTGGTTGCCAAACATCATTATCCACTGCGATGAGTCTTCACATTCGCAGTCCAGTCCGATTAAACCTTTTTCGGCAAGGATCTCGACCAAATCGGCTAGAAGGTCACCTGGACAACAAATTTGATTATCCTGTCCGGGGAGTAGTGCTTAAGGACCCATCTCTTTATGGATGTTTTCGGCGGCACTTAATGGAAACCCCTTCATGGGTTCACCGCAGCCACACAGAAAATAAATTGTAACGACTAGCAATGCTGAGGTCAAACGCTTTAACTAAAAGAACTCCGTTACAAAATTCCATTACCACTTTACATGCATTTTATATAAAACCAACATAAATAGGTATCTTTTATGATAATTTGTAATATATACTTATGTTTGAAGTTGATGCTGACAATAAAGAATTATTCCGCTTTCATTATTATAAGAAACTTTAAAACTTTTAATGGTTCACAAAGATAGAACTTTTGTAAAACAATTAATCACCGAGGAGATATGCATAGAAAGACAAAGTAGCAGTTGCGAATGGAAAACCTTACTTTTAACCAATTCGGATAATAATTTTTGTCAGTGAAGAACTATCACTCCCGATTGTTGCAAGTGCATTGAAGGGTCGCGTTTCTGCTACTGCATTGTCTTCTCGGCTGCATTGCTCTTTTGCTGACCAAGTACAAAAGTCATTGGCCGGGTCGAAAACTGCAGTGCAACAGCAGCATGAATAAGTCAATGTCTGCTGTATCATCTCAGGAATGAGGAGGAGCCCACTCCCCTCCTATTTGGTTGCCATTTCCATTTGGCAGTGCCGCTGGCATTGTGCTCGTGCAGGGCAACTTTCGACATTGAGTTATAAGTATTTTTGCTTAGTCGTTGGTTTAATCAAGCATGAAATAGTCCAATCGTTGTGCTTTTTTTATGGGTGAGAGAAGTATGATTAGGTTATTGACCCGCCAAGTTGAAAAACTTACAAGGGTACTGCTCTAAAAAGCACTTAAGTAGGGGATTAATAACCTGTCAGTATTAGAAACGGGAGACAGGGCGTAAGTTTTCATTGGCGGATTACTCGGTGTATTCGTAGTTATATCACCGTAATTAATTAAACGCCCGCCAGCTGCAAGCTAAATAAACGCAACGGCACCCGGAATTTACATTTACATAATCCCGAGCTTAAATGCTGTGCAATCAGTTAAGAAAAATGTTTGAACAGGGAAAAATTAGCAGATGAAAAAAGCTTAAGGTTGTGAATACTGTTTGCTTGCTTTGTTCGCAATCAGTACTCCTAAGCTTTAATTAACGCTATTCAAAATGGCTCCTGTATGATGAGACCAGGTAAAACTTTAAAGAACAACATCTGGCAGCCAATTAGCCTAATCCAGTTAGCTCCTGGGCTACAAATTTTGAAGCAATTATCGTGACAAGTGAACTGAAGCCTCACACATGCCCAACCAACCAGACACAACAACATCCATGGCTAGGCAACAACAACTGATTGATGCGTGTCACCTGTGTGAGGCAGTGAAAAAGGGGAGGCTCATCCTGCTCCTGCGGTATTTGCTCATAAATCACAAATGAATCAGCGAATGCTTCAAATGACTTCATTAAAAAGCGTAACACACGCACCCAGGGAAACGGATAAAATTGGGTGATAGACAAGGTGCACAGTGAAAAAGAAAACTTGTTCCCAAAAATAGAATTTGAGTTTGTTGTTTAATCATAAGATTATTCTTAGGTTATTTGATAAGCGGAATTTAAAACAAATACATTTAATTTAAAGCACTTTTCGACTTTTACATAGTACCCACACTAAAAAAAAACGTCTTTTTTAAGTATTAATTAATACTATATATAATATTATAATACTTTTTTAAATATATATATACTTTTTTGTTTTGTTTTCTAAACCGAAAAGTCTTAAACTGTAGTTTATATAAGTTTTATTTTGATATTTTTTATTTTAAAAGTAATAAGTAATAATTTAAAACATACAATTTTAAATCAATACATATTCTCAGGATTGTAAATCAATATGTTATTTACATTGTAAATAATTAGTTTTGTTTAATAATTATTTAATGAAAATAAAATAAGCATGGTTATCTAAGTAGTAAAAACCAAAAAACCATATATATAGGTTACTCTTTTTTTCTGTGTTAAAAATAGAAGCAGCGTCAGCAGGCTCATTCAAGTGTGTTTGAGGATAAAATGGGGAGGTAAAACAAGCGGAGTAGGGGCCAAATAGACCCATTCTCCTTATCCATTATCCACAGCCACACAGCGTGCTCATCCCTAGAGCCTCAGCTTCGATTCGCTATTAGCAAAAACTCAAATTCAATGAAATCCGGTCCTTTGTCTCTGAAAAACGCCAGCAGATGGGAGACTTTCCTAAGATCTCAGAACACCGCCCCAAGGACTTGAATTTTTCCCTTGACATTTTCCACCATTGTAAACAATTGTTAGCATTCCGTTTTTCGGAGCATGAGAAACTTTCTGCAAATCTATTCAAATAATAGCCAGGGGATCCTAATTGGCAGCAAAATGTTTGCGTAGTGTCCAAAACAATCGATAGGTGTCATTCAGGGGGAAGCTTAATTGAAATCCAAGGCAATCAGAAGCAAAAAAAAAACAGTAAACTCCGAAACGAATCTGACATTTGTGAATCTTTGCCTTTTTTTTTAAGGCATAACTCTCCTTGAGTCAACTACTTGGAACTTTAACTGGAAAAGTTTTCTGGTTTTTACCAGTTTTTGTTTTGTTTCTCCTTCTTTGTTTTCCTACATTATTCCTCTCATGTTCCACTTCCTTGCGTGCGCTTTGTTCTCTCCACATCCTGCCACTGATTTGCCGCTATTGTGTCATTGTCCAAAATTTTATTATGACCCACAAAAGTAAACGGAAAAAAAAATAAGGAAAAACTTGGCCGCGTGGTGTGGGTTATTGTCGCATAAAAGCATTTTTGGTCCGCGGTGGGGGAATTTAACGGGAGGCTAATGATAATCGGCTTGGTCAACGACCTAATAGCCCCGCATATTAAGCTTTTTTAAGAGCCATCGGGGCTTGCTAAATCTGATTGACAACTTTAATAGAAATCAATAAACAAAAACTATCGGGTGAAAAACAATTTGAAAGTTTCAAACTGACAATGTGATTTCGACAAAGTTGGGTTTCCCAAACTTTTGATTACAACTTTCAATTGATTTGCAATAAATATGGCTAGCTAGCTTAAGTTTTGTTTTAAAAGTTGGAAAAACCACAACAGAAATTCCAAACGTATTTGCTGTCGGAGCCACCTAATGCGCCACTTGATTACATAGGCTTCTTGAAGCGTTTTCTCTAAATCACACTGATTTGCATGCGCCGCTTTTTGTTGTTGTCCAATGTTGTTTGTAGACAAGACCCAAGTTAAGTATTTGAATACAAACGACACGCCTCCATTAAGTATGCAAGCATTTCACGTGTTTTTTGGCCCCGCTTTTCGCCTGGCCAACAATCAGGCGGTTGTACTCACAAATTGCGTATGTTCTTCTTCAGCTGGCTCCGTGTCTCCTTTTTTGAATACAATTTGCATTCGCTTGGGGTTTTATTAAAAATTATATAATTTTATTTTTAGCTAGGCAAACGGAACAGGCCGTGAGATAGACGCACACACACGCGCACACATAGAGACGCGGCCCCTTTTTTTTTACTCCAAGCACATTTCAGTAGCGTTAGGGATCCTATGGGCCCTACTTTGTTTTACAACTGTTTCCTTGGCAGCGAGCACGACCAAAAGCTTCGAGTGTTGAAACGCGACTGAGCCCTTAGCTGTGGCTCAACTGCGGAGAATATGGCCAAAGAGAGAGAGAGTGGCAGAAAGAGAGCGGGTGGGCGAAGGAGGAGGAGGCAAAGTTAAACGGCGCCCCAAAATGAACGCGCAAAAGGAAGGCGGTAGGTGGGTTGTAAGAGCACGAGGACGCGCGAATTTATGTCGAAAAGGCGGGCAGAAGAAGCAGCTGACACATATTTGGCTTTGTTTTGGTTGTGGCCCTAACCGGCAATCTCTCTCTTGCGCTTGCGCATAACACTCTCTGTCAATTAGTCTCAAACTAGGCATAAATAAAGGCAAAATTCGTAGTTTAAACTCGTAGCTGGTCAGTGTTTTTCTAGCTCCCTCGCTGTGGATCCTCTCCCTCGTTTTTCCCTTAAATTCGTCGGAGTTCATTCTATCGATTATCCTTCGTCTCATGTTCCGATGAACGCTTTGTTTACGAATTTGAGGTCCACAAGGCATCAATGAAGAAGTGAGTGAGTGAGGGTGTTAGTGAGTGAATGAATGCACGAGAGTAAATGGCACACGCACACAGTTAGATCCAACCCGTCTGTCTTCTTTTCGCATTTAGGTTGAATGACACTGCGCCTACCGCCCTCTCCCTTCTACTTTCCCACCCGACCACGTTATTGCATTTCCCGTTTTATGGCACATGTTTCTCACGTTGTCCTCAATTCCAAACGGGAAGCTCTCTCTGTGTGTGTGGTGTGTGTTTGTGCTGGGCACGTCATCATTTTCTAGTGCACCTGCAAGCCAGAAAGAGACAGAAAGACCCGCTGGCCACATAACTGTAAATGAGCAAAATTAACGGCTCTAACATGCCCCGTTTCTTTTGTTACGCGTTCCGTTTGTTTTGTTCGCCAGTGTAACGTTATTTTCCAATTACCGCCCGAAAGTATGCAATTACAGATAAAACCTGTTTTCGTGCGATATTCAGTCCAGAGCGATAGTTATTTTAATCGAACGCCGCTCGCAATTATTGTTTGCACGCACACACATTTGCCTAAGTAAACAGCAAAACAAAGCACCGGTAAAAAAGTGTAAATAAAAGCAACTAAGAATTGTCAACATACACTGTCCAGGTTGAATAATTCTATTAAGTGCCACAAGACTTTTTGGACGAGCGGTATTAAAGCGCGGCCTAACAGACTTTATTCCCACAATCGGTGACTAGAATTCACAGCGGCAACAACAACAACGCAGCATCAACATCGCAGCAAGAATCTGGAAGAAGAAGAGCACCTCAGAATGAGCAGCGAAACGGAGGAAAAAAGAGCCAAGGTACAGATGCAGATTGCACTTTAAAAACAGAGAAAGGGTACATCTCAGTTTCAAAGTGCACTCAGAGAAAATGGAAAGAAAGTGTCGGTGTATTATAAAATCGTGAAATGTAGTTTTTCAAGTTAAAAACAAGAGGATAGGGCGCAAGCGCTAAAAAGAAAAGTGTTGAAAATTTAGTCAAAATAATTTTATTATTATTAAAATGATTTACCTTAAAAAGCTTTTAAAGTCCAATGTTCTGTGCCCTGCACTATAAAAAATTATACATTACGATTAAAACTCAAACTTATTTAAAGACTATGGTTCGAAATACCTTTATCGGGATTGAAGTGTAAAAAATGTTTACTAAAAATATGTACATGTACTCGTAAAATAAATTCAATAGCAATTTAAGCTATAATTTTGATCTAATTTTTCCCAATTTCACTGCTTTAAAATATCTTACAAGCAATTACAAGTTTTTTGCTTGCAATAAAGGTTTAAGAGCGTATTGGTGTGCATGTCTTTTACAATTTGGTTAAGTTGAAAGGTGCACTTAAATCTATTATGTTTTTTTTTTACCATAAACACAGAAGGCTAAATACATTAACTTGCTAGCAGCATTTTGATAGCTAAATTTATAAGTAATCCATATTTAAGTGCATTAAAGATATACCTAGCGTGCGAATGCTGCATCCTAAAGATATTTATTATCAGTCTTAAAAATATTATTTTTTTTTTGCTATTATAAGGTATAAAAAAGAGATAAAAACTTTAGGAGAAAAAGTTTTCAAGTACTTAACTGGGGCTCTTATCAATTGATATATCGAGTTGGTCAAGTTCAGAATTATGTTTTATCCAAGCGGAAATTATGTAGGCATTTCTCGCAGTCCACTGTTAATGAAAATTTTGCTCCCACAATCTCCCTGCCACCCCATTATTTATCCGCTAGATAAGAAACGCTAGTGAGCGACTGAAAGAGATAGAGGGAAATATGAGACCGGCAGAATGTGTTCGGAACTTTGGGATAGCCGATTCAGTCAAGCGTTCAGTTGAGCGTTAGACGCCGTCGCGATCGGTTGTTCGGTGGATCTTGACCAAAAAATGAGTGGCAGCGAGAAGAATGTGCGGCGGCGCGTCGTCACGCCGACCAGCGATCCTCCGAATACGGATCCATTGCTCCGGCCCCGTGGCTCCCAGCAGTATGAGGTAAGCACCCACTTCGGGTCCTTGATTAGATAGCCTTCAATTGGGTGTGGCACGGGCTAATCTTCGGCGATCGAAGCAGCCGCAACATGAAGATTACCCACGGCTAAATTCCGAAAGAATCGATTATTTTTGGCGGCGGGAGTGCAGTACTTATCTGGGTACGAGGCGTTAATTAACGAACAGTGGATACCCTTGAGATAGCAGCGGCTATTCTGCCCTAGTTGCACCCTCCTTTTATCTATCTATCTGTCTGGGTTTAGTTTAGTAGAGCAGCTCTCGAACACAAGGAAGCATACTATCCACCAATAACCATTCGATTTTCGGTGGCAACAGGTTCTGCGACTTTAAATATTGCCCAGGTTGCCAGCGATAAGATAGCCGTTGATGGATTAAATCTAACATTCGACTTGATACATACAGTCGATTCCAATTGTGAAACTGACTCACGTCTAGTGCCAGACGTATCTATCTAGACGTATGTACATATCTACCTAGTTCTGGGTAAAATCCAATTTGGTGAATGGAATTGACCCGAAAATATGCTTATCGTCTGCCGGTTTTAGATATATAGTTGTATACCGAAATACAAATAAAACCATGAGTAATAAAAAACCCTTTATATGTCATAGCATTTTTTGCATTCATGAGTACAGCCAGCATCTGCGTAATAAAAATTTTTGAAAATAGTGGTTTGATTCCTTTGGTATTCCATTGTTATACCCTTGCAGAGGGTATTATAATTTCAGTCAGAAGTTTGCAACGCAGTGAAGGAGACATCTCCGACCCTATAAAGTATATATATTCTTGATCAGCATCACTAGGCGAGTCGATCTAGCCATGTCCGTCTGTCCGTCTGTCCGTCTGTCCGTCCGTTTATATGCAAACTAGTCTCTCAGTTTTAAAGCTATCTGCATGAAACTTTCCCAAAAGCTGTCTTTCTATTGCAGTTAGTATATAAGTCGGAACGAGCCGGATCGGACGACTATAGCATATAGCTCCCATAGGAACAATCGGAAAAATAAATGAAAAAAAATTATAACTTTGCTGTTTTTTAATTTTTTGTTTAGTTCTTCGACATTTAGTAATGGTTAAATATTTCCGATTTACGGTTTAAATTTCATCAAAATCGGACGACTATAGCATATAGCTCCCATAGGAACAATCGGAAAAATAAATGAAAAAAAATTATAACTTTGCTGTTTTTTAATTTTTCGTTTAGTTCTTCGACATTTAGTAATGGTTAAATATTTCCGATTTACGTTTTAAATTTCATCAAAATCGGACGACTATAGCATATAGCTCCCATAGGAACAATCGGAAAAATAAATGAAAAAAAATTATTACTTTTCTGTTTTTTAATTTTTTGTTTAGTTCTTCGACATTTAGTAATGGTTAAATATTTTCGATTTACGGTTTAAATTTCATCAAAGTCGGACGACTATATCATATAGGTCCCATAGGAACAATCGGAGAAATAAATGAAAAAAAATTATAACTTTTCTGTTTTTTAATTTTTTGTTTAGTTCTTCGACATATGGCAATGTTTAATTATTTCAGAATTATGGTTTAAATTTTATCAAAATCGGACGTCTATATCATATAGCTCCCATAGAACTAATAAAAATATATAAAATAACTATCTAATAATTGAGCTGCAAATCATCATAGCTTCACTGTTTTTCAGTATATACTCAAGTAAATCATAATTTAAATGTTTTCAAAAGTATTTAATTCATGCAATAGCTGCAAGGGTATATGAACTTCGGCTTGCCGAAGTTTGCTTTCTTTCTTGTTTTTGTAGTACATTTTAGGTAGAATTGTTTTTTTTAGCATTGTTATTTTTAAATCAATTGGTTGGCAATACAAATTGTAAAACTTTTAAAGATAGTGCTTTGAATTCTTGGGCTTCGACTGCGTTTACCAATTTGGCTATTTTTCTTAACTTGTTTGTAAATATATATTTTATTACTCAAATAAGTTTTTTATTTGATTGCAGATCTTTAATAGATTATGCTTTGGGACATAGTCCTCTAACTTTGGTAAATCACAAGAAACTTGTCATTATCACAAAAGCAAGATATGATAATTTGGGCCGATTGTTGCATTACCAGCTATCGCGTAAACTCTTCGTGGTACTTGAGATATATATTTTAACAAGTTTCAATCTCAATTTCAGGCCCAACCAAATGGTTGTGAGCGGGCCTTTGTGCAGCGGAACAAGATCAAGTGGTTCTGGGCACCAGCCTTTTTTGGATTCTGGTTGCTGCTTTACGTGGCCATCTCAATCCCCGCCTGCCACCGCCTTCCCCGCCCTCTGACCATTAAGGATGAGGCCAAGCACCCCGACCAGTTCATCGCCGAGCGGGCTGAGAACAATCTACGGGAACTGGTGGGTCTGGGACCCCGAGTGGTGGGCAGCCGGCAGAATGAGATGGCCGCTTTGAAAATGCTGTCCCAAAAGATGCAGAAAATTCGATCGGGCACTGCCAACGATATTGAAGTGGATGTTCAGGTGGCCTCCGGCAGCTATGTGCACTGGTCGATGGTCAACATGTACCAGAGCATTCAGAATATTGTGGTTAAGATTAGTCCCAAGGGAACCAATAGTACTACTTACCTACTGGTTAACAGTCACTACGATTCGGTGCCAGCTGGACCTGGTGCTGGTGACGATGGCTCCATGGTGGCCACCATGATGGAGGTCCTGCGTGTGCTGGCCAAGTCGGACAAGCCCTTGAAGAACCCAGTGGTGTTCCTCTTCAACGGAGCCGAGGAAAATCCGCTGCAAGCCTCGCATGCCTTCATCACACAGCACAAGTGGGCCAAATACTGCAAGTAGGTCAATGGAATACTTCTTATTTTACTTTAAATTGAACCTTATACTTGATTTTACATCTTAAAGAGCCCTTATCAACCTGGATTCCTGCGGTAATGGTGGTCGGGAGATACTCTTTCAATCGGGTCCCAATCATCCTTGGCTGATGAAGAACTACCGTCGAGCCATCAAGCATCCTTTTGCATCCACCATGGGCGAGGAGATGTTCCAGCACAATTTCATTCCCTCTGACACGGATTTCCGCATCTTCCGTGACCATGGATCGGTTCCCGGATTGGACATGGCTTACACCTACAACGGTTACGTTTACCACACACGGCACGACAGAGCCGAGATCTTTCCGAGAGGAAGTTTCCAGCACACTGGTGACAATCTGCTGTCCCTGGTTCGCGAGATTGCTAACTGTCCGGAGATAGAGGATTCTTCGGTATGATGGGCGAGGGAATACCCCTTAAACCGAATAATTAATTTTTTTGGTTGCAATTTAAGAAATACGCCGAAGGACACACCATATACTTTGATGTGATGGGCTGGTTCCTGGTGTTCTACACCGAAACGGAAGGCATTATTCTTAATGTGATTGTGGCTTTGGCAACCATCGGTGTTTGTGGTTACGCCTTCAAGCTGATGTCGGTCAGCTCGGGCATAAAGCTGGAAAAGATCCTCAAGCGGGTGTTGCACACCCTCCTTGTTCAGATTCTATCCGTTATTGTGGGAGCCATTTTGCCCATCCTTCTTGGTCTCTTCATGGACGCGGTGCATTTGCCTATGGCGTGGTTCACAAACTCCTGGCTTATCCTGGGTCTGTACTTTACCACATTCTTCTTTGGTTTGGCCATCGTTCCCGCTTTGTACTTCCACTGGACCAAGTATGTAAGTATTTCCGGCTTAGTTTGTTTGGATCTAAGACTAAAAGAAGATTTTTTGCAGGATAAACTGGCCATTGGCCAGCGGATTCAGCTGTTGCTTCACTGTCACTGTGTCCTTTTGGCCATCCTCACTCTGGTGTTTACTATCTGTGGAATCCGCTCTGTTTTTGTCCTGATGCTTAGTTGTCTTTTCTATACAATGGGTTTGATCATCAATATTGCCACCAAACTGCACAGCAAGGGTAAGTTGATGAACAATATTAATTATACCTGTTTTATAACAAGCTGCTTAATTTCTCCTATAATATAGATGTGGCCTGGGTAATTCCTCACATTGTCTGCACTGTTCCGCCGTTTGTATTCTTCGCATATTTCTCGCACGGATTCTTCACCACCTTTATTCCCATGTTCGGTCGTTTCGGAGAGAACCTTAACCCGGATCTGGCGGTGGCTGTTTTCAGTGTAGCCGTGGGCTTCCTTTGCTGCGGTTTTATCATTCCCGTACTGCAACTGTTCAACAAATCGAAGACTATTATCTGTGGCCTGATGGGCATCACTTTATTGTGCTTCATTATAGCCATGACTCCAGTGGGATTCCCCTATCGCCCAGACACCAATGTCCAGCGATTCGCAGTGCTGGTAAGGAATCACATTGTTGCATTTAAAATCAGCATATGTATAAAGTCTTCATTTCTTTATTAGCACACCAAACGTACCTTCCACGACGCCGAAAACCATGTGCGTCGTCAGGAATCGGGTTACTTTATAATGCCTCAGGACAGACGTACATATACAGTCAAAAGTTAGTTAAACTGATTTCCATTTTAGAGGTTTATGTACTTATATAAGGACTTTCTGTCTTGCAGATGCCGTTATCAACATGACGCTTGCCCAACGGATCGGTAGTGATTGCGAGAAGGAAATCAATTGTGGACTGCCTCTGTACAATCAGCGATGGCATAAGACCAGAAAGAACAGCTTGTGGATTCCCGCTTCTGAGCCCGTTCTTGGCGAAGATTTGCCCACCGTCATAGTGTTGTCGAAGAAGCAGCTGTCTAAGACCAAAATTCATTATGAAATGCAGCTAAGTGGACCCAATCATATGGCGCTCTTTATCCAGCCATTGAATGGAGCAAAGATGATTGATTGGTCTTTCCATAAGGTAATGTTTTTATGTTTATGTTTAAACTCAGAATCCCATTTAAATATCTTAATAATTATAGGCTCCCCTACGCCTAAACTTTGAGGCACCTTACTTCATTTACTTCTCCTGGGGCGTCAATGGAGATCCCCTTAAATTCTGGTTAGAGTTGGAGGTAAGTCATCATCGCAAAATGCCAGAGATAATTTTTAAATGTATATGGCTTAACCTTTTCAGAAACCCAGTGGAAATTGGAATTCAACCACCGTGGAGCTGGGTATCGGAGGACATTGGACGCACCACAAGGACTTGCTAACGCCTGACTTTAAGAAATTCCTCGACAGCTTCCCCAAATATGTAGATGCCACCCCGTGGCCAGCTTCGTTTGAGAGCCGGATCTACTAGGTTAAATTAAATTTGACCGTGATCTACTAGGCTATTCAAATGTGTAGATTTTTTATACCTAAATTATAAATAAACGCTTAAGTGTTCAACATTTTCTGTGAACTTTGATTTGGTAGATAAAAGCCGACTCAATGATTGATTTGCGTCACTTATATGGTCTGAGTGCTTATGTGTTATACCTTTTCAGGTATATTGGCCTGTTCATTAATCAAGTATTAATTATAATTAATACCATAAGCTGCGCGGCCAATATCAAAGTGTTCTGATTGCAAGGTTATAGCCAATCTAAAATTGCGTAAGGGCTCACACGTAAAATGTATTTTATACATGAAATGGAAATGTGAAATCTACATTTGACATTTGACTTCCTAGATGAAGAATGTCAGTACTCTTATATTAAAAAGTAAAGTATGATATACTTTTAGTGCCCGTAAAAAAGATAAGCGCCTTTCTTATAAACAGGAATTTTATTGCTGTGTTCGGGGAATAGAACAATTTCACTGTGTCCATTCACCGAAAGTGTGATGCAGACTGATCCACCTGAAGATTACCAGATTAGCATTTGAAAATTTAATATGGGCGAATGCTTATCTGCATGAGTAGACTAATAATGTCGATGCTTATCTCTGAATTCAAATTTAATAAACGTGGGAGCCAAATTTATTTAGCCACTGATTTTCGTACTGTTCAGTCGTATAATGCTTTTTATACATCCTGTTAAGACATATTTATATGTACTTATCTCTCTTTTAAAGTACAAATTTATTAGTGTGAAGTAAACAGGAACATAGATATGGCATGGCCAAAGCGCCAGAAATAAGTGGCAATCTAACTAATAAAGGCTAATATACTGTGTGAACATTCAGTGCTATAAATTTATAGTGGTTTTTTGGGGTTTCCACGCTAACTTTTTAATTGATGAATGATTGTGATTTGTAATCTAGAATTTATTATTTGAGACCATCATTCATATAAAAGAGTAAAAATTTTGTTTAAATTCAAAATTCTATTAGACTAATACGTTTAATATTTATGTGTAAGATGTAAAATTTCCCACATTGCCATCCTAGCTTTTAACTGACTATTTTCCATTTGAAATAGGATTTTGGAATTATCGGTTAGTTTGAAAAAAGAGTCCAAATTCCATTTGTAATGTTTATTGGCCCTTAAAAGAGTAACACGTTTTGGATTTATGTGCTCCGATAAGATGGTAGCATTTCACAAATTACCACACTTACTTATCTTAATACCTTATGTAGATTTTTTTAGATTTTGGACCCCACCGAAAGATCTCTGCCGAACGGAGGTCCTAATCGCATTAACTACTGGCCAATAAAAATTTTTAAAGAGAAAATGCTTCTGGTATCGCCTATCGCAGGATGTAATCGTTTTATGCGCCAGAATCAACGATTATAATCATAATATTTAATTATTATCGCTGCCATGGAGGCGATAAGCGATCCACGGCGCCGAAGCTGGCCCTACTTAATTCTTGGGAACAGGCTCGAGGCGTCTTAGTTGCCCAACGGTTGGGCTGTGGTGCGGTTGCGGTTGCGGTCGTATTTCATCCCGTTTGGTTCAGGTCCGAGTCGCGTGCGATCTGAAAATTGGTGCGGTGCCATAACTCACGGTGTTCGACTGATAAGGATCTAAGAGTTTCCTCGTAGAGGTAGCGCTGCGATTTTAAAATATAGGGCTGGCTGTCAGAAAAGTGAAAGGAAGGTCTGGCGATAAGGCAGCGATTTAACGGAAGAGTTCAAATCAAGGGATAATTGCAAAAGAAAACCTTGTTTGCTTTGCTTTCTTCGAGTATCCATTTGCGATAAGGAACTTTATATCGGTTATAAAATGAGACCTAACTTTGTTATCGAATGCTATTTTTAGACCAAGTGCTTGTTGCCTTTGAAATTACTGGACCATAAAGCTAATTAATTAGGGTGCTAATTGCTTTACGACCTTTCTACACTCTCCAGCAAAGATTATGTTCTGTTTTCTAGGAACCTAATAAATAGTTGGTCAACTTTATGACTGCAATTGGATCGAATGATATTGAGATATTTATAAATTAAGAACGATCCTAGGTTCGTAAGTAGGTACAATGTGTGAATGTCGTATAATTTTGATATTTTGAAAATGCCTAAGGCCATACAGCAATTTTGTATAATTTGAGTTATTGAAAAGCACGAAAGTATGCAACAAACTATTCCTTAAAGAGTTTTATTCAAATAGTTTATTTAATTCTTTATTATCTTCTTTAAGATATAAGGTTAACATTGAATTTGTTCGCCTTAAGATATTTATTTACCAAAACCATTTCTATTTCAGATGTCTTTCTCAATCCTTGACATTACGGCCGAGAAGGATGGCGGCAAGTCCAAGGATAAAAAGTGGCCCTGGTTTGGAGCCCCCATCTACGCAGCAGCCGCGTTTGCTCTCTTCTACGCCGCGGTCCTGCCCAGCTTCCATAGCTATCCGAAGATGTTGTACCAAAGCGATGAGGCCCAGCATCCGGATGAGTTCATCGGCGAACGGGCGATGCGGCAGTTGGCCGAGTACTCAGCGATTGGCAACAAAATGAGCGGCTCCATCAACAACGAAGTGCACACGGTCAATTTCCTGTTGCGCGAGATTCAGAAGATCAAGGACGAGGCCCGCACGGATCTCTACGACATTGAGGTGGACACGCAGTACTCTTCAGGCGGCTTCCACCTGTGGGGCATGACCATCACCTATACCAACCTCTCCAACGTGGTGGTTAAAATATCACAAAAGAGTTCGAACAACGACAACTATCTGCTGGTGAACTCCCACTACGATTCGGAGGTGCAAACCCCTGCTGCAGGAGATGATGGCGTCATGGTAGTGGTCATGCTGGAAACCCTGCGCGTGATCTCGCGTTCTGAAAAGCCCCTTATCCATCCCGTGGTCTTCCTGTTCAACGGCGCCGAGGAGGCCTGCATGCTCGGCTCCCATGGATTTATCACACAGCACAAATGGGCCAAGAACTGCAAGTATGTGAAGATACCTAGTCCTTGGAGTCTTAGAAAAATAATACGCAATTTGGAAAACAAATTAGTGTGATCTTTACCCATTTCATTCTTCAAAACAATTTCCAATGGACAAAGCCAATAAAATTACTCTAACTCTCCCAAAGTCTCTTGATCTTATTTTAACTCTTATATGTTTAATAAACCTGTTAAAATTTTCTTATAAAATTCAGAGCTTTGGTCAACCTGGACTCGACTGGTGCCGGAGGACGGGAGGTGCTTTTCCAGACAGGTCCCAACCATCCGTGGCTGGCTAAATACTACCAGGCGAGTGTGCCACATCCATACGCCCAGACCTTGGCCGAGGAGCTGTTCCAGAATAACTTCATACCCTCGGACACCGACTTTCGCATTTTCCGCGATTACGGAGGAGTTCCTGGTCTGGATATGGCCAGCGTGATGAATGGATATGTGTACCACACCGAGTTCGATAATTTCCGGAATGTGGAGCGTGGCACCTACCAGTCGACGGGTGAGAACGTTCTGCCCCTGGTTTGGGCTCTGGCCAATGCACCCGAATTGGATGACACCGCTGCCCACGAGAAAGGACATACTGTGTTCTTCGACTTCCTGGGCTGGTTCATGCTGACCTATACCACGTCCGTGAGCCTGGCCATAAATGTGGTGGTTTCCGTGGTGGCCTTTGTTTGCATTGGCACCTCGATTTACATCATGACATTGGACAATGGTGCGGATGCCGCGAAGGCGGTGTTCATGCGGTTCGGCATCATCTTCTTGGTTCAAGCGGGAACTCTTCTCGTGGCATGTGGTCTGACCCTCCTGGTGGCCGTTTTTATGCAAGGCGTGGGACTAGCCGAATCCTGGTACTCCGGCAAATGGATGTCATTTGGCCTGTACTTCTGCACCCTGTTCTTCGTGTTTGGCCTGCTCCCTGCACTATATATTGGATTCACGAAGAGGAAAACGAACATGAAGTTGGATCAGACCATTGCCTGCTTCATGCATGCCCAGTGCATCCTGCTAGCATTGCTCTGCATTATCATGACCAGCATGGGCATAAGATCCAGCTATTTCCCCATGGTTGGCATCTTCTTCTATGCGATTTCCGTCCTTGTACAAATCATTCTCAAGCTTACGCTGAAGAGTAGGTTTTCATTGGCTTACTACACTCCATTTTGAAAACTCTAAATTAATATTTTTTCCTACAGAAAGCTATTTTGTGACAGTCCATCTGTTGTGCCAGATACTGCCCTTCTTCTTCTACACCTACATCTGCTATGCCACCCTCGTGACTTTTGTGCCAATGGAGGGTCGCGATGGTCCCGAGAGCAGTCCCGACATAATGGTGTCTGTTTTTGTCATTGCAACCGCAATAAACTACGCTGGATTTGTGGTAAGTTACCTAAATAAGCCTCATACATATACAAGAAAACCTAACGATCTCCACTTACAGATTCCCATCATGCACAAGTTCCGCAAGCCCAAGATTATATTTTCTTCATTTGGTGTGATGACAATTGTATTCATTATCTTGGCTGCCACATCCGCCGGATTTCCGTTTGTAAAGGAAGTGGCTCCCCAGCGTTACTATGTGCTGGTAGGTTTTTGAAATTTCGAAAGATATTTATGAAGTTAGTTAATAAATTCATCACTCTTTTTCAGCACACTCAGCGAACCTTCCATAGCTTGGATGGTGTCGCCAAACAGGACTCTGGCTATTATATTCAGCCCGTGGATACGCGTCTTCATGAGCTAGATGACACCACGTTCAAGAATGCAGAGCCTGCCAGTTGGACGGCAGCAACCTGTGCCGCCGAGCCCTTTTGTGGTCTGCCCCTGTACAGTGGACGCTGGATTGATTGGAAGTGAGTTGAAGATCAAGAACCCAATCCTACCTATTGGTTAACCTTATGTATGATTTATCCCTAATCGCAGAGATTCGGCTCGTTGGATATACAGCACGCCACCGGTTTTCCCAATGAGCATCAATCTCACCCAGCTTTCTAAACAATCTGTGGGTGGCAACAACAAGGTGCGCTATGAGTACAACCTGAGGGCCAGCGATCGGGTCATGCTGTACATAGATCCCCTCGATAAGGTCAGGGTGACCGACTGGTCCTTCGACCAGACTCCGTTGGAGGAGCAGCACACACCGCCGTACCTAATCTACGCCATATACTCCTTCACCGAAGAGCCCCTCAACTTTTGGGTAGAGCTCGAGCACGAGGAGAGCAACACAGAAGGACCCTACCTAAAGCTGGTGGTCACCCAGCACTTCCAGTACCATCCGGAGCACTATACCGAGGACTACAAGCAGTTCCTTGCCACATTCCCCGACTGGACCTACACCACCGACTGGTTCTCGGCCCTCGAGAGCTGGATCGTATAGTCAGCGATGAGAATATAGACTCCAAACTTTGTTTATCTTAATAAATAATTTATAGTATATTTTAATAAAATTACAAAGTAGTAACTACACTGGTCTAATTGTAAATACAAGTACAAGTTAAGGTGTGCCAAGGGCATTGACACTTTGTTCGTTGGATTAGGGTTTTTGGTAAGACCAACTAGTAGTACCAAAGTTAACAGTAGCTTAGGTGTCATGGCAAAAAAAAGGGGATTGGGATGGCCCAGGCTTAAAGTTGCCAACTGTTGTAGGATCCAAGCCAGGAGCTAACATGCGCCCATGGTGGAAATGTGGCCAAGAACTCCCTGAAGTCCTCCGTTATGAACATGTCGTCGTGTATTCGGTGGCCCATGAGGGCTATTTTAAAAGTGCCACCCGACCAATCTGGATCGTCGTGCTGGAAGAAGATGTTTAACAAGAGAACTCAAGGTAAAACAAATTAATGGAGTAACTACCTCGAATTCCAGTGAAAACTGCAGGGGCTTGGGATCCAATGCGTATGACCAGTACACATAATAAGGAGGCTTTACATTGTTTTTAATCGGCTCTTTGGTGAACGACCAATCCACTAGTTTGGTGTCGTTTAAGGGCAGAATGAATATGCTCGTGTGATCTGGTCCTGAGATCTCCAGATCAAATTTAATATTCGTTGCCGAACTACTCGTTTTATCCAAAATGGTCAGCGTAGGAATATAAGCCTTATTGGGTTCGGGCCCGGGTACAAAATAGCTGTTGTCACTGTAAATAAATTAAAAGTTATTTGAGTAAAAATAGTTTAATCGGATTTGTTGCCAACTTACACTGCATTCAGCCAGCGCGAACTGTATATGGGATAGCCGCACATGAGCTCCGAATCACAGTCCATACGTTCTGCCTTTGTGAAGTTGGTGTTCTCGAACAGAATATCGTCCACAGTGTGTGGACGACGATCGACCGGAAGGACAAAGTATCCCGAATCCGTGTGGCTAACTGTGCTCGCTGCATCGCCGTTATGGAAGGTCCGGGCTGTGTGCTGTAAAAATAAATTTTTATTCAAAATATATAACATATACAATATATAAAATCCCTAAGAAATAAACTTACCACAGCGAAGAATCGTTGAGCAGCCGTTTTCTCGACGTAAGGAAAGGCAATCGGTGTGGCAGCAAATATAATGAATACCACCGTACAAACGCCAAACATTGAGATAATCGTTTTCGACTTGCGGAACAGGCAGAACAAGGGCACCAGAAAGGGTGCAAATAGCAGGACCATCAGTGCCGTAAAGAAACCCATTAGAATCTCTGGATTGGTATTACACTCGCGTCCCTGCATCGGCACAAAAACCACATAGAAGGCATAGCAGCAGTAGGTATAGAACATGAAGGGCAACACTTGGCAAGTGCAGTGCGGTATGAGCCAAAGGAAATCTATCAAATAAAATGTATATCGAATTAAATTATAATTTAAATTGCATAATATGCTCACTAGTTTTATGGGCCTTAGTGATCATGTTGATCAGCACGGATAGTGTATAGAAACCTATGCAGAGCATTATGATAAAGGCCGAGCGAATACTATAGCTGACCATTATGGCGGTGACAACGGTCAAGATCAGGCAATGCGAATGCATCAACAGCTGAATGCCATAGCCCAAAGGCAAACCATGCTATAGAACAAAAGAATAAAATTAACTTAAATATTTACTTAAGACCATCGTGACTTACCTCTTTGGTGCGACTAAAGTAAATAGCCGGCACTATGCCCATGCCAAATATCATGGGACAGAAGTACAGACCGAAGAGCATCCAGTTCTGGGAAAACCAGGACATTGGAAGATTCACTGCGTCCAGGAACAGGGCTATCGACATGACCAGGCCAATGCCCAAGGCTACTCCTGCCACCTGGAGAGCCGTCAGAATGCCAAACTTTGCCCAGATCCGTCGGCGGAACATTCCCGTGCTGCTGGACATCATCCAGATGTATGCCACAATCGTAATGCACACCAGGACACACACGGATATATTGATGATGACACCCGTGCTCTCCGGATAATACACAAAGAACCAGCCCATCATGTCAAAGAATATCATATGACCCTCGGCGTATTTCTAAATGGATAAAATTTGAATTTAAAATATATACTTTGGACAAAGTTCGACGAACCCACCGATGGATTCTCCAGCTCTTCAGCATTCGCCAGGGCCTTGACCAGAGCCAAGATATTTTCGCCAGTCAATTGATAAGTGCGCCGCGGGATGAGATTAAAGCGATCATATTTGGTGTGGTACACATAGCCATTCAAAGTCTGCGCCATATCGAGACCTGACCAGAATAAATGTATTAGCGATTAGGATTTTCGTACTTCACTTTATATTACCGGGTATATGGCCGTAGTCGCGGAACACGCGATAGTCCGTCTCTGAGGGCACAAAGCCATTCTGAAACAATTCCTCTCCGATAGTGGAGGCAAATGGATGAACTATGTTTTTGCCGTAGTACTTAAAAGATATGAAGAAAATATATAACAATCCAAAAATAGTCTAAGCATTAATGTGAGACATACCTTCATCAGCCAAGGATGATCGGGTCCGGATTGAAACAGAATTTCCCGTCCACCACTTCCCGCCGAATCCAAGTTCATAACCGCTCTGGAAAAGAGTAAGGCTTAAATCTTTAACAGAGTCCAAAATATAACTGACCGTCTTTAAATTTACATTTTTTAAGTAACTTTTTAGTGAAAGTTTGTAATTTAATTTGGGTTTAACATATTCTGACAATGTTAAGCGCTCAAAAACATACTTTTAAGGTTTAGAAATTATATTACTTTAATTTATCATTAGGTTTATTTACCAAAGTTATACTTTATAATTATTTTAAACTATTATACTTATGTTGAATGCTTGTTTTTATACTTTTTCCATTTAGTTTATAATATTTCCTTCACGAAAATTTGTTTTCATTTGCCTTTTTCATAGGCTACAAAGCTACTAGTATTTTGACAGAAGCTGTCCAAAATACTAGAGCTTCACTTACTTGACGTTCTGGGCCCAAGGATGCTGGGTGATGAACGCGTGGCTGCCCTGCAGTGGATTCTCCTCGGCTCCGTTGAAAAGGAACACCACCGAGTAGGTGAGCGGGGTCTCGAACTTGGTGATTACCCGCAGCACCTCCAGCATGACCACACACATCATGCCGGCATCTCCGGCTCCCGAGCTTCCCGGCACTGAATCAAAGTGGGTATTGATCAAGAGAGCGGCCTCACTGGTGGCATTCCTGGGCGACAGCTTTACCACCACATTCTGGATGCTCTGATACACATTGACCATGGACCAGAGCAGATAGTTTCCGGAGGCGACCTGGACATCCTTTTCGATGTCGTAGAGATCCAGTCGCGCATCGTCTATGATGTCTCTGATTTCGCTGAGCAAGAACTGAACGGCCACCTGTTCATTGGCCGCACTGCCCACGACCTTGGGTCCGATCTTCGAGAGCCTCAGTAGGGTGTTCTCTGCCCGTTCCCCGATAAATTGACCCGGCTGCTGGCGCTCATCCTCGAGGGTTTTCAGCTTTGGCATGCGATGGAAACTGGGAATCACCACCAGGTAGAAGAGCAGGAACCAACAGGACACAAACAGGGGAGCCCAATACCAGCCGATCTTGCTACGATTGTAGATGATCTTCATGTTCTCGTACTTTGATTTCATTGTGCTCTGAAAAGGATCAACAAAATCGCTTTATTGGTCATGAAAAAAAGTGAAAAGAGTGTCAGTGCACCCCACTAATTAAGTTCAATTGTCGAATTCCGATTGTGACGCACTCGACTGATAAAGCTCTGCGGATATGGTCGCATGTATGGCTTGTCATCGCAGCTAATCACCCCCTTTTTTTGACCGATGTGGAAAGGGATAAGCTAATGCAACTACTCGAGCGTCGAGCATCGATTAAATAATTAGCGGGCGTGATAAGCGAGTGCGAGAAACTTAAAGTTGTCACTGCAAACGGATAACACCCATTCAATGTTTCATTGAAATCAATCAGAAAATATATTGATAACCATGAATACAAACCTAGAAACATGAATGAGGTTCTTGTTTGCTGAATACTCCACTTTATCGAATCCAAGCAGTGATTATTCAAAGCATCGAATAGATAATACTTATCGGATCCTCAAGTGGGCAGGAAATTAAGTAGGCTACGAAATCTTGAGTACTCGAAAGTTTGTGAAAAAGAATAGAATGAAAATGCTGCCATTAGAATAGCTGAGAAAACTTCTCCCCATTTTGTAAAAAAAAAAACAACTTTTTTAAAGTCTACATAAAATGGAAACCAAACTGCTGACCGGAAAACATCTGTTGACCATTCGGTGCTAAACACAAATAAAAATCGCCCGTTTAAATGAAAAGTATCGAAAAACGCAAATTAGCCAACGACATTGAAATAATGCAGCTTTAAAAAATAAACAATGAGTCCATATTTATATTCGATATTTGGGGATCCAACAAATTGAGCAAATAAAACATCGGCATTCGGAGGAAATCAGCATTGAACGAGACATTTTGTAATTTTTAAAGCGGTATTTCATTCTTATTTATAGCCAACTGGGCTAATATATATTATCGTTTAATGTTCACACATGTGATGCGGCTGAGTTTTTGTGTGGGAAATATTTAATAACAAATTTTGTTTGTTTGCTTGTAGCGAAAGGAAAATACACTATTGTTGCGTCATGTTGATAAGTCAAATATTACGAATTCTTTAATTAATTGAAACCATTTTATTCATTTGTGTAATTAGGCAATTACCTTCCAAAAGCTTTACTTCATGATCCAATTTTTATTTATTTTATTTTTATGTGGATAATGTTTAGATAAAGAAATACAATTTGTTTTAATGCGTCAAAAATAAAAGAACTGCTTTGAAAAGATCGATAAATTATCACATGAATAATATTTTTGTATTCAATGTGATTTAGTTACTTCAGAATTTCATTTTACATAGCATCCCATAAAGGATTTTAAGTGCATGATCTTCGTTTCATAATGACCACTTAAAACTTGTTCTTGTAGTTTTTAAGATGAACGGTCACTAAAATGAGATCTGACGGCAAGTGTGTCCTAAAAACCTATATGAGCAGCGGGTGGGGACACCAAAAGTACTGGCTACTGAGGCAATTAAGCGAAATGTTTTTATTTATTTTCCGTTTTCCGCGACTGAATGCAAAATACCATTTGGATTACAGTGCAACATCGACCCATTTTCCACTGACTTCTAGGTGACCCGCGCCGGCGGCAAAAAGTTGAGCGTGAAGGCAACTTCTCAGCGATTAAAAGTGAGGCGGACAAAAACAAATGAGATGTGCAAAAGAAATCTCCTCGTTTTTCACCCAACTCAAGCGCTTATCGATTGAACTAATCACTTCCCACAAAAAACAAACAAACAGAGGGAACACTCTGTGCGGGAACCACGCCTACTTAATATCAAAAATAAAAATAAGAAAACATGGGGGGAGCTAAGAAAAAACTATTTAGAGACAATTTGAATGAGGGTATTGGGAAAAGAAGGAAAATCCAAAACAAAACTTGGGTTCACAGAGGCGTCGGCAATCAACTGTGACAACAACGGGAAAGCAAAAAAAAAAAACAAATAACAGCGCTTCTGACTATAAGATACCTGTTGGTAATCATTATAGATCATAATATATTGAATCTGTTTAATGGGAGTATAATTATTAACAAAACAAATTCTACAATTTACTTATACTTTTTATCCAAATTTTGAAGATAGTGAAGAAGAAACCAAACTTTTATTAACAATAATTAACAATATTATTATTAGCAATAAATAGCTATTCATTTACTGGAGCTTAATGGGAGTGTTTGCTTTCATGGTAAATTGTTTAGACGAGTTTTACTTTTTATATCCATTTTCATTTTAGTAGGTTTGCTAAAAGACTTACATTGAAATGCCAATTCCGAAATCGTTATTATGCAGTAACAACATAAAATAGAACACGTCTAAATCAAACCTCAAATTATTATACCCCGATTACGGGGTATAAAAACAACATCAGCTCGCGACAAGAACCGCATTTGTTTGGACTAAACTCAGGCAGACGCATCGGGGAAAAGAAGTTGGGACGAAAACAATCACCAGCACAGATACAGATACAGATACGGGGATACAACTGCAGATGCATATGCTGACGGCATTCAAACATAAGCACACATAGAACGCGACACGCTGCAAGGGCTTGAGTCAATAACCTGCTGAAGAAAGGAAGTTGCGGCTGCACTTGCGGTTGTTTGTTGAAAGAAGAAAGCCCCTGCAGAGGGAGGGGGGAAAGAGGAAAGAAGAAGCCTGGCAACTGTTTGTGTTACCTTCGGCCTGCCGAAAGAATCTTCCCCTTCGTTTTGGGAAGACGATCACTTGCACTGCGGAATGGCCGGCACAATTGGTTGGCACTCGCGCGATTATTAGCACATATCTGACCGAAAATAAACTGAAACTAGTGGGCGAAACTGTTTGCCTGCTGAGGATCAGCTGGTTGGTAGCGGAGGCGGAGAGAGACTGTCCTCTTCGACGGTCGGCGATCGTCTGCGGCTGCTGCGCTGTTGCGCTTGGCGACACAACTCTCCGGTCCTCTCGCTCTCTTTCGCCCTCTCTCTCTCTCTCTTCGGCAGGAGATCGGGGTCACCAAATGGCAGCGCTCTCTTTTTCCTTCTCAGCCCCACTTGTCACTCCCATTCTCACTCACGTGTATGGTGTTGCCTGGATGAGTGGTCAAAATAATCCAAAACAGCTGGAATCGAAAAGGGAATTGGATTCTCCTGATTTTCTCCTGATATTCACACTACCGTAATGTAACCGCCTGACAGACGGAGGCCAACTAAAATGCGAGACACTGGCACTGGCAATTTTATACGTGAGTTGGGGGATTTGTTTGCGGATTTCAGTGCTCAGGAGCTCAAGAGCCGGAGGCTTATCACAAGTATCGAGATATCAATACCTAGTTCGCCAGGTAATCACATAATTTGACAGGTACAACGGAATATTGGGGGCAGCAGGACGGAAGAAGAGAATCGCCTGTTTCATCCGTATTGGCATTGCGATTACAACCGTAATTGCCAGTAATCGAGATTAAGTGCAGGCGATTACTGGGTATTAGTGGGTGCTCACTGTGATTTCACCGATTCCTTCAATACAATTTGAGTAGCGAAAAGTGACAGTGCTCAGGAGATAAGGACTGGCCAGACAAAAGACACTTGAGACGAGTTCAAATTTGTTTATATTTATTGCATGGCTAAGAATCGCAACAATGCAATCTAAACAATTGGAAATTACACAAAAGCTACATCTAAAGTATTTTTTACAGATAAGATGAGCAATGAATGTCATGGAAAAGATATTCTATATATGCAGACAACCAGCGTTAATTAGGTATTTTTATTTGTCCATTTCGATGGAGATGATATTATAAGCAATTAATTTGTTTTTAATTTTCCACAAACAAGAATTGGCAAAATACACTTCAATAAAGAAGTTCAATTTCTGAATGATATAAAGTGTTTGAAATTCGGTTATAGAAATATATATTCTAAAAAAGATATTCTTAAGAAGCAGATAGCTTTTAGGAAATTAGTAATGTTAATGCATAACTGTTTGAATTCTTTTTTTCCTGTTACTTAGGTTTGCTGTAATGTAATCTAAGCCGTTGGGAATTGCAAATAAAAAACCATAAAAGTTATTTTTTGATTGATAAGGGGCATAACAACCAGTGGAAATTCTATTAGCTTGTATACTTTGGACAAAAGACAGCGCTTTATTAGGTAATTACAAGTTGTTAATTGCCCCAGGTATAAACTAACACGTGTAATTTTGTTTGTATTGACTGCAGAATGGGTGGTTAATACACAAATATGTATATCAGAGAATATTTATGATGCTTTAGCCTGCTAATCGCCTGCAATATTTATTTATTTATTAATTTTTTAAATTCAGAAAATTACTTTTCCCTTGTTTCTCTCCATTGTACATTTAGAAACTTAATGACAGTAGACTTTCGCCCAACATATTAAAGAATCATTTGCCGTAAGAACTAACCATATTTTGGTATATCGTTCAAAAAGACAGTGATTAGTTACTTAATTACCAACTTGAAAGTGATGTCTAAGCGAAATCAACAAAGTTTCTCCGCAGAATTCCTAGGTGATTAGACGCATCTAAAACTGGCAGATAGGTAGCTCTATGTTTCGTGCAGTCGAGCGAGAAAACGGTTGACATAATTTGATAGCCGCCAGCCAGTTTCCCAGCTATCGAATCCATTCGGGCGGAACAACCTACAACGACAATTACGAATAGACAGGTGTATCTGAAATACATGCGAAAGCAATTCAAATACGTAAACAATCTGTTAATCAAGCGAAATCAGCGGAACCCAAAACCCAGCAGAGGACTTGCCTCTACGGGTAAAAATGAGATAGAAAATTCAGCAGACAAAGGTGGAATGACACATAAACGAAAATGGAATGAAATCGGCGACAATCGTACAACAGCAGTGCACAAATTAATTAGTAAACTCTGTAAAAAGGCGAAACAAGTGGATTGGCACTGGGTGTGCCCGGGAGCTGGAACCCGAACCCAGTCAGTCAGTCGGAGGCAACGCTACCTAAGGGCCACATCTCGGGATTACGAGGAGAACCATACGGCACCATACGGCACCATAGCATTCCACTGTCAAATATTTTATGGGCATCATCGAAGTGACGGCAGCAGATTATATGGCACGAAACTTCTAATTCGCCAGTGCCGCCGTGCCGAGTATCTTAAGAACTGCCCTCTATATCGAGGAAATTGTTGCTGTACCCTTTACGATACTGGACACTTTGTCCGCCATAAAGATATAATTCGGTTAGCAATTGCTGTTGCCCCCATGTAGCGCATCGAACGCGAACAAAACAAGAAATCTAATAAAATCCCCGCCCATTTTAGCCCGAAGTGTTTATCGTACAGCTGCTCCGATATCAGAGAAACTACCGATAATTCCCCGAGTTGGCGAGTTCTCCAGACCTTCAATGTCGCCGGGCTTCATATATCTTTAGGGTGCCAGAGCGATTTGCACCTCAATTGGAACTCGAAGGTTCAGGTCCCCGGTTGCGGGCGAACTTAACTATAAAATTTACCGAAGTAGTGTTTAAAAAAGTCCTTAAGGTGCAAATTTATCAGGTGTTCGGAAGGATTCAAAAGGACAAAACGGGATACCAGTGTATAAAAATCTAACACAACATGAGTGTACGTATTTAAAGTGATGCCAATTGTGAAATTAAATGAATAAAAGGAAGAGTTAAAGAAATTCACCAGTTAACAGAAAAAATAAATACATACCTTTTCAAAAATCTTGCTAATTAAAAAGCCACCTCATAAATTAAGAACATCATAAATCATAAGAAGTGCAACTCCTTGAAATCTATATTTGAGCAATCTAATCAAAGCAATTAAAAGAATGTGAATTTAATCACCACCAATCAAGAAATTTAAATATAATTATAGAGATTGGAAATAAAAAGTGTGCAAGAAACATTATTAGTTGCCAGGATACGTGTAGAATTTCTGGTCAATGTACAATGTGTAGTCATGAAAAATCAGCAAAAATTACATGATTAAAATTAAAAAGTCATTTAGATAGGAAAACGGTTAAGAAACCTTCCCAGAATTACATACTTCAAAAACACCGAAATACAGCAGAAATTGCGAATTTGTTAGCATTTTCGAGCGATAAAAGGTGCTGATACTTATTTATTAAGGCGTTATCGTTTTATGGGAGCAACTTCAGCGGTTTTATGATCCTCGACAATCTCTCGTTGACCACACGCCCGTGAATCGAAAAGTGAACACGCGACGAAAGCACGATTTCAATGCCGAGCATTGTTTAATCAGAAAATCAAAAGGAGAATAAAGAAACCGTGCCTGCGAACACTCTTATCGATTAAGATGGATTGCAATAAAAGTTAATTTTCGAGCCAATATTCCCGGGAATTATGAGCCTCCATATCGATGCCTTTTCAGTTCCTATAGACATTCTGAAGTTCACGGACTGCTCCACACTCAAAGTTAATTCCTTTCAGCCAGGATTTTCTTTATTAGGTTTGACATGCAGTTGCCAGACCGAAATAGGATATTGATTGGTCATATAACTAAACCATAATTATTATTTATATAGAATCCGGAGAAGTTCTTGAAAGCAGTTGCACTAGGAACTAGAAAAGCTGTCAAGTTTATTGAATCCTCTTTTTCTTTGGCTTTGACTAAATACAAGCACAGCATTATCATTTCCCTTAATATCTACAAAGTTTACAAACAGAAGGATAACTAATAATCAGAAACTAAAAAAATGTATTACCTTCTTAAGGTTCAGATTTTATATTGGCTTAAACATATAATATATATTATATCATGAACGCGTAAGATTTTCAATTAAATACCGAGCGGATAAAAAAGCTATTCAAACTTTATAATTTTATTTATATTTTATAAATTTTTAAGTCCTAAAACCCAATTTCCAATCGAAAGAGCTTTAAAGGTGGTTTCAATATTTAATCGTTAGAAGTTTTAATAAGATAATTTTAACCAAAGCGAAACTTTGACCAATCTTCTCTTACTTTCATCAGTTCAACTCCAAATATCACATTGATGTGGACTTCGAGGTGCCCAAAAAACTGCAGTGGTACTATGCTCCTGCGTTTTTTGGCTTCTGGCTGGTGCTCTTCCTCTCGCTGGTCAACACCCAGATGAACCACATGCCCCAGCCCCTGACCCGCAGCGATGAGGCCAGTCATCCTGGCTCCTTTATCGCCCAGCGGGCCGAGGATACACTGATTGAGCTGACCCGGATCGGACCCCGGGTGGTGGGCAGCATGGCAAACGAGGAGTCCACCGTGGAGTTCCTGCGCGCCGAGGTCGCGAAGGTTGAGGCCGAGATGAGCGACCGCCTAGATCTCGATGTGGATGTTCAGCAGGCCAGCGGGGCCTACATGCACTGGGAAATGGTGAACATGTACCAGGGCATCCAGAACGTTGTGGTGAAGCTGTCCGAAAAGAATTCCACCAACGAGAACTACCTGCTGATCAACAGTCACTATGACTCGGTGCCCGGAAGTCCAGGAGCCGGTGACGATGGGTCCATGGTCGTGACCATGCTGGAGGTCATGCGTGTGATAGCCAAGTCCGACGAGCCACTGGCCCATCCCATTGTTTTCCTGTTCAACGGAGCTGAGGAAAATCCCCTGCAGGCATCGCACGCCTTCATCACCCAACACAAGTGGGCCAAGAACTGCAAGTGAGTGTGATCTTTGTTTTACAAATATTTAAACAAGTTTCCCGAAATTATATTTATTATATATATTTTTAAGAAATTTCTTTATATATTTATTATCATGTCTGAATCTTCGATTTCAAAAAAAGGTGTTGTAAAGATGTAGATCTTGAAAGTGTTCATGAGACATAAACAATTTTTAAAGTTTGAAACCTATTAATAATTTTTGAATATTATTGAGCTATTATGTTTATATTTTCTATTGTATACTTTTAGGCAGAACCAATATACTAGTTACTTATAGTTATTGTGCCGTAATGACTTATTGTATTTTTTACCTCTTCAGAGCTCTTATCAACCTGGATTCCGCTGGCAGCGGTGGTCGGGAGATCCTTTTCCAGTCGGGACCGAATCATCCTTGGCTGATGAACTATTATAGAAATGTGCCGCATCCCTTTGCCAATACACTGGCCGAGGAACTTTTCCAAGCTGGCTATATTCCCTCCGACACGGATTTCCGAATTTTCCGCGATTACGGAGGAGTTCCCGGTCTGGACATGGCTTACATCTTCAATGGCTATGTTTATCACACCAAATATGATAGGATTAACGCATTTCCCAGGGCCTCTTTCCAGCATACCGGTGATAATGTATTATCACTGGCCCGGTCCCTGGCCAATGCTCCGGAAATGGATGATACGGCTGTAAGTCTTAATGGGAGATAATTACTAACGAGTTTTAATCATAGACCAATTTCAGGCTCACTCCGAGGGGCACAATATATTCTATGACTTCCTGGGCTGGTTCATGATCTTCTACACGGAGACAACGAGCATTATAATAAATGTGGTGGTCACATTATTGGCACTTCTGGGAATCGGCATATCCCTCTACTTTATGTCCGTTCGATCGGGCTGCAGTTGGAAGGGTGTCCTCATACGCTTTTCCATCACCATTGCCATCCAGTTCATCTCGCTCGTTTTGGCCCTGGGTCTTGCCCTGCTGGTCGCTCTTTTCATGGATGGTGTGGATCGTTCGTTGTCCTGGTTCTCCTCTTCCTGGACCATCTTTGGCCTGTACCAGGCACCCATTATCTTCGGGATGAGTATTCTGCCGGCTCTGTATCTGGAGAAGACGAAAAGGGATCCCTTGGGGCTGGGCTTTCGCATCCAGCTCTTCATGCACTCGCACTGCATCTGCCTGATTGTGATAATGCTCACCTTGACTGGGCTGAGTATTCGGTCGGCCTATCTGATCATGCTCTGCGTGCTGTTCGACATTGTAGCGCTGATTGTCAACCTGGTAACAAAGTGGCACCGCAAGGGTAAGGAAATTGGTTATTCAAATGTGGAGGTACAGGCTTATATATTGTTCTACCTTACAGCCTATTTGTTTGCCATCGCCGTCACCGTCTGCCAAATCCTGCCCTTCGTCTACTTTACATATCTGTGCATAGTGGCTCTGGCTACGCTGATACCGATGCAAGGACGTTCGGGATCCTCCACAAATCCGGATATGGTTATTGCAGTTCTCATCTGGCTGTTTTCCCTTATGTTCGCCGGCTTTATTGTAAGTAAACATATTCTAATCTTCAAGCTCTTTTCACTAGATTTTTTTAACTACATCGATTAATATTTTTGCTACACAATTTATTAGGCTATAATAAATAAAACAAGAAAGAAAGCAAACTTCGGCAAGCCGAAGTTCATATACCCTTGCAGCTATTGCATGAATTAAATACTTTTGAAAACATTTAAATTATGATTTACTTCAGTATATACTGAAAAACAGTGAAGCTATGATGATTTGCAGCTCAATTATTAGATAGTTATTTTATATATTTTTATTAGTTCTATGGGAGCTATATGATATAGACGTCCGATTTTGATAAAATTTAAACCATAATTCTGAAATAATTAAACATTGCCATATGTCGAAGAACTAAACAAAAAATTAAAAAACAGAAAAGTTATAATTTTTTTTCATTTATTTCTCCGATTGTTCCTATGGGAGCTATATGATATAGTCGTCCGACTTTGATGAAATTTAAACCGTAAATCGGAAATATTTAACCATTACTAAATGTCGAAGAACTAAACAAAAAATTAAAAAACAGCAAAGTTATAATTTTTTTCCTTTATTTTTCCGATTGTTCCTATGGGAGCTATATGCTATAGTCGTCCGATCCGGCTCGTTCCGACTTATATACTACCTGCAATAGAAAGACAACTTTTGGGAAAGTTTCATGCAGATAGCTTTAAAACTGAGATACTAGTTTGCATATAAACGGACGGACAGACGGACAGACGGACGGACAGACGGACGGACAGACGGACGGACAGACGGACAGACGGACATGGCTAGATCGACTCGCCTAGTGATGCTGATCAAGAATATATATACTTTATAGGGTCGGAGATGTCTCCTTCACTGCGTTGCAAACTTCTGACTGAAATTATAATACCCTCTGCAAAGGTATAAAAATTCTAGTTTTAAATGTTTAAGCTGAAAATTTAAAAAAATTTTTTTTTTTTTTTTATTAAATTACCTTAACCTCGAGCAGCTAAGAGATTTATTTGGCCTCCTCGTCGGAAAACGTGATCAGTTTTGCAGAGACTTTAAATAATAAATTGATGAAACGAAAAAATAAATATTTAAAACATACTTTACTTTCAAAAGTAATGTTTTCAATTAAATGTTTGATTTAATAAAAAATTCATATATATATATTAACTATTTTGATAAGTTCTACAGTAAGTTCGAATTCCATAAAAGTATTATGTTTAATAACAAAAAATAAATAAATACCTGCAGGCCCCACTCATCATGTTCTTCCGCAAAACGAGAACGATAGTCCTGTGCTTCCTGGGAATCACCATTCTGTTCATCATTATTGCTGTCACAAATGCAGGATTTCCATATAAGGAAAAGACCGCTCCACAACGTTATTCTTTGATTGTAAGTTTTGCTATTTGCTATTTGATTAAATAATATTTATATATTTTTTAAAATGAATAACATATTAGCATGCGCACCGTCGTTTGCACAATGCCGATGGAAGTACTCGTATCGATGAGTCTGGCTTGTATATTTATCCCCAGGACAGACGCTTTAAGATTGCTCGAGGTAAGCTTTTGAATGAATAGGAAAAAGATGTTACTCCAATTTGTTTTATTTGTTTAGATGAGATCGATGCTCTTGGAGAAGCGCACAAAGTAAGTGACTTTTGCGACGAGGAAATGTTTTGCGGCATGCCGCTTTATAACCACCGTTGGAACAAAGCCCGGCAATATAGCCTGTGGATCAAGACATCGGAGCAGCCAGAGATCCCCACCGAATACCCACTGCTGGTTCTGCAGGACAGCAGCGAACTGGAAATTCCCACGCAAAGGCGTTTTAATTTCACCCTGGCAGGGCCCTCTCACATGGGAATATTCATCAATGTGAAAAACGATGCCAGGATACTAAAGTGGTCCTTCAACGACACACTCATACGAGAGCAGGCGGAACCGCCGTATATGGTGTACTTCTCCTACGGACTGGACGACAGTCCTCTGGAGTTCACCATTGATGTTGAGGTGGTGCAAAAACATGCTAATTACCTGTTATTATATGGCTGACAACCGAACTATTTACTATTTGCAGAAGACGACCTCAATGTTTGACACACCCACCCTGGAGATTGGAATCGGTGGTCACTGGGTGACCCAAGACATCACTGCCATCGAAAAACTCAGCAGTTACATCACTCGATTTCCGTCATACGCCTACATTCAGGGCTGGGTGGGCACTTACGAGACCTGGTACTTTTAGGCCAAGCCGCAAATGATTAACTAATTGTAGTCATTAAGCGTTTACGATTAACTGTATAGAATCTGAATGAGAAATTACATATTTTATTAAACTACAATACGAATACTATAATTACAATCAAAAGCCTTGACTTTGTTATTTATTAAACATACCTACCATGCATGAAGTAATTCAATAAATATATCAACGCAACATTGGTTTGCTTTGTGCAAACAAAACATGGAAAATGTAAACAAAAAGGTGCGTAGAGAAATTCCTCTGTGACTATCCATTAATAGTGTTCGATTCGGTAGAGAATTACACACTTTTGTTCATAGCAAGATTAGAATTCGCCGAGCGCAGTTCTCTGCGGTTTTTGAGATTAAAAGCTATGTTGAGAGTCTATAAATATATACACATAGACTGTAGGAACGCCAAAATATTTATAGAGAATACGGATTTCCATTCGAATCAAACTGATTAAGATGATGCGCCTAAGCGGAATCGCGTCTCAGTTGAATTGTTTACCCACAGCGGAGATGTGGCAGGTTATACGCTCCCGATTTGATTCTTGCCAAAACAAGGTGAGGAGGATTTAATATTGTGTGTGTGTGTTTACTTATCGAAGTTAAATGGAATACCATCTTTATGTTATATGTAAAACATCTCCAGACCAATTAAGCAATTAAAAAAGGCGTGGGAATATTAAAAAACCGTAAAAAAAATTTGTTAATTGAACTTATTTTTACACTTGGAAACAATCTTGCACTTGTACTCCCCTATAACAGTGATTGGGTTGTGGTGGGTCTAGTTTGTCTAGACCCATAAAGTCAATAACCGTTTATTTTCTTGATAATTTTTATGAGTTGTATACATATGTACATATATCCCAATAGTCTAGCTGATAAATAAAGAGGGCGTAGAAACAAGTCCTAATAAATTCGTAGAAAAGGGGCAGCACCTGTTAAGGATAGACACTTTAAATTTTTAGCACAATAAAATTAAAACATAAAACTATTGCTCATTTTCGAGGGTAGCTTAAAAAGTTATTTAAAAAAAACCCTTAAAAAGAAGGCCTAAAACGAATATAAGTTTTTGTTTTTTACTTCATTAATGTATGCACTCGTATTAATGTTTAATTTTGTAAAATTTAATACCATTTTTGTATAAGCCACCCTCGGTTTGATGACACTTTATCGAATTAAACAGCTCAATATTTATCTTAATTAGCTGAGACAACAATATTGCTCATATAAATCCATTAAAGTTTTTATCGCTTTTAACTGGTATCCAATGATTTTAGAAGGTATAAAAGAACATGATTTTTGTTAAGGCAAATCAGTCTGGTTTTGAAGCTGCCTAAATAGATTGGCAAAATGGGAGACAAGGACAAACTGGTAATGGCATTTAAGAATCAGGATTCCATTTGAAGTCTGACTGACTTTGCCCTTTTTTACAGATTTCAGATGAAGCAGTTGAAGGTGGAGTCGGATCGGCATGCTCCAAAAAGGTCAGAAATCCTGAGCAAAACCTCCGGGGACCCTGGTACTTGGCCAGCGGTTTCCTTCTGTTCTGGGTACTACTTTTCTTTGCGGTCGTGATGCCTCTGTTCTATCGCCTTCCGAAAGGCTTAACCATCGAGGATGCGTCCAAGGGCGTCTTCATCGCCGAACGCGCCCACAACAATCTGTACGAATTTGACGAAATCGGAACCAAAGTAGTTGGCAGCGATGGCAATGAGAACAAGACCGTCGATTACCTCTTGGGATTAGTGGCCAAGATACAGGAGAATGTCCTGGACGAGTTCTTCGACATTGAGGTCGATCTGCAAGAGGTCTCGGGATCCTACATTCATTGGACCATGATAAACAAGTATCAGGGAGTGCAGAATATCGTCATTAAGCTGAGTCCCAAGAACACCACGAGTGAATCCTACCTCCTAGTCAACAGTCACTTTGACTCTAAGCCAACCAGTCGATCTGCCGGCGATGCCGGTCAAATGATAGTCGCCATCCTTGAGGTCCTGCGCGTCATGTCCACGACCAGGCAAACGTTCCGGCATCCAATCGTCTTTCTGCTGAACGGCGCTGAGGAGAATCCCCTACAGGCTTCGCATGGTTTCATCACCCAGCACAAGTGGGCTAAGAACTGCAAGTTAGTGTTAAAATATCATGATGATAATACCTTTACATACATACTAATAATACATCTTCAGGGGATTAATCAACTTGGATTCCGCTGGCGGTGGAGGTAAGGAAATTCTATTCCAAAGTGGACCAAATCATTCCTGGCTAATGAAAGTATATTAAATTTGTTTTAATTTTTGATTCTTTTAACTCAAAATCGAAACTTCTTACAGTACTATAAGAACTATGCCAAGCACCCAATGGCTACCACCATGGCTGAGGAAATCTTTCAAACTGGTATCTTGCCGTCCGACACGGACTTCAGTATCTTTGTAAAATATGGAAAACTAATTGGTAGGATAAAAATACCATAAAAATAGTTGTGCGTGCTCATAAAGTAATTTACCGCATTCTTGTAGGTCTGGATATTGCCCAGTTCATCAATGGTTACACCTACCACACCAAATACGACCGATTCGCCAATATTCCCCGAGAGTCCATACAGAACACTGGAGAAAATTTGCTAAGTTTAGTGCGAGCTCTTTCGAATGCCACTGAGTTGGATAACACAGCGGTAAGATGCCTTGGCCTTCGGGAGATATTGAATGAAACCCTAACCTTTCTTAGGCTTACGCAACGGGGCACGCAGTTTTCTTCGATTTCCTGGGATTGTACTTCATCAACTATACGGAGAGCACTGGTATTATTCTGAACTATTCCGTTGCCGGAGCAGCACTTATCCTGATCTTTGTATCCATTTGGCGTACTGCGAGCATTTCCTGTGTGTCCACCGGTTACGTACTCTGCTGGTTCATTCTGATCCTAGTATTCCAAGTCATAGCTTTTGTGCTGGGTCTGGTACTGCCCATAGCCATAGCCTACGCATTTGACAAGTTCGGACTCTCGCTGACCTACTTCAGCACTCCGGCCCTTATGATCGGTCTGTACATATGCCCAAGTCTGCTGGGATTGGTCCTGCCTTCCTACATCTACTTGAAGTTACAGCGGAGCGTAAGTTTAAGGGGTAAACAGATGTGAGCACTTTATACTGAGTTATATACTCTTCGTATCCTCTGTGCAGGATAAGGTGCCATTTGCCCAACGACTGCAACTGGTTCTCCATGGTCACGCCGTTGTATTAGCTATCCTGGGCATTGGATTGACTCTTTTTGGACTGCGATCTGCTTATGTGGTCACTTGGACTCTTATATTCTACGTAGTTCCCTTGGTCATTAATCTACTGACCACTCTGCACGATCGCGGCTTTTCCTGGACTGGTGTGCTAAAGATTTTCCAGATCATTCCGTTCCTGTACAATAGCTACCTGATTTACACTTTCGTGGTGACCCTGACTTCCATGATGGGACGTTTCGGCAGGTGAGATGACACAGCTTTGGCTTGATACTACGTTTTACTTATGTCTTTCTTATTCAAGATCAACCAACCCAGATTTGATTATATCTGCTTTGAACGGTTTGGGAACCATTTTGGCAATGGGATTCTTGGTAAGAGAATGATAACTTCAATTAAACCATATTTATCTAATATGATTATATATATAATTTATTTGTCTAGATTCCCCTAGTTAATATGTTCCGAAGACCCAGCCTGATCATGTTCAGCCTTTTGGTCGTGAGTGCTTTAACCATTTACACGGCTACCTCCACTCAAATTGGTTTTCCCTATAGACCAAAGACCAACGTAGAGCGCGTACCTTACTTGGTTGGTATTTTTTATTTGATATAGAAGACCTTAGCTTACATTGCTTACCTATTACAGCACGTGCGGCGAACTTTCTACGAATACGATGGCACAGTTGTCAAGGATGACTCCGGCTACCTGTTTAATTTCCAGGATCGTCGAGGACCGGCTCCCTTGAAGATGTCCAAAGCCAATCTGACGGGCTTAGTTAGCATCGCTGCTGATTGTGACAAGATCATGATGTGCGGCATGCCTCTTTACGATCACCGTTGGGTCAAGAATCAAAAGCAGATAATGTGGCTGCCGCGCGAAGAGCTCATCAATCCTCCATATGTACCGGAACTGGAGCTTTTGGGAAAAACGGAGCTGGGAAACAACACAGTTCGATTGGAATTTAGGACCCAAACCACGGATCACAGCAGCGTTTTTATCAAACCACATGAGGACGTGAGCATAGTAAACTGGTCATTTGATTTGGCTTACATCGGACAGCAGACTACTTATCATATATATTTCTCATATGGCAAGAATAAAGCAGCATTGACCTTTTTCATTGACTTATGGGTAAGTAAAACGTAGATCTACACAATGTTAAGAGCTTATTTTAAACTTTTTTCCCCTAGAAACAAGATGGTGATTTTAATGTACCCATGTGCCAGATTGGATTATCAGCTCATTTTATTGGCGACAAAGGCGATGCGTCCAGCCAAAAGTTTGCCAGCCTGCTCCCATCGTTTGCCGCCTTAGTGGAATGGCCCACCTCCTATCAACGGTTCATTTACTAAGCAAACAGAGCTCGTTGGCTCTTCGAGATCTAATAAACATGATCGTTATCCGAAAGCACGAAATAAAGCAACAATTGTATTGATAAACTATAAAACAATTAGGATATACATAACTTTAATTGGGGCTATTATTATGACTGTCACTTTGTGTAAGTCATGATTTATTCTATTATCGGAAAGGACTTGTTCACAAATTAAAATATGATTTTGAAACTGCAACCTTCCATTCTCGCAGGGTATGTATGTATAACCACTAACCATACAACATATAGACTGGTCATTTCATACGACGCATTTGGACACAAAAAAACGGACCGCGGAAGGTCCACCGCTCTCACAGCAGCAGGTCCATGCACTTCGTGTGCGTTCGGGTTTTTTACTCTCTCATTCTTATTCTCATTTTTATGCTCGCGCACTCATTGCACGAGTTCAGTCGTTCAGTCGCAGAGGCGCTTTTGAAGAAGGCTGCCCTGCGCTTGAATTCGTCTTTGTATGTATGCGTGATCATGCATTCTCATACACGGGAGCATGTGTGCGTTTATTTCATTTCGGCGCATCAAGAATATTTTGTCTTTTGCCACTTTTCAAACTTGGTACCCTAAGAATATGGGCGTATTTACTATTGGGTTATGATATAAATATTAATATTATATGTTACAATATATTTTTTTAATATTTCAGCATACATTTTATTTTTGTTTACAAATTCAAATCAGTGGTAGCAGTAAAATGTTTTACATATATGTATGTATTCGAATTTATAGAAATCAGTCCACTGAGATGGGAACAGGGCATATCGCAGTCGTGTCACTTGAAACACCGACTGCTCTTCAGTGGTTGAGAAAACTTCAAACTAAATCAATTCTTGTCGATGTTTTGCGAGCGGTTGGTGCCTGCATACCCTACCGACCGGCTTTTAGGACACTTGTTTTAAATGTTATGTTTAGTGATCTTTGGTTGATTTATTTTTTAATGATTCGCAGTGTTATTTTAATTGTCTTTAAACAAGTAATAAATAATAAAATAGTTTTTATATTTTTGAAAATGTAAATGGAACAAATATAAAAATCCACATATTTTTAATGATAATAATTTATTTTAATGATTATAATTTTAGATTTTAATTGTACCAATATCTTGAATTTTAACGAATTGTTTAAAGACAATTAAAATAACACTGCGAATCATTAAAAAATAAATCAACCAAAGATCACTAAACATAACATTTAAAACAAGTGTCCTAAAAGCCGGTCGGTAGGGTATGCAGGCACCAACCGCTCGCAAAACATCGACCAGAATTGATTTAGTTTGAAGTTTTCTCAACCACTGAAGAGCAGTCGGTGTTTCAAGTGACACGACTGCGATATGCCCTGTTCCCATCTCAGTGGACTGATTTCTATAAATTCGAATACATACATATATGTAAAACATTTTACTGCTACCACTGATTTGAATTTGTAAACAAAAATAAAATGTATGCTGAAATATTAAAAAAATATATTGTAACATATAATATTAATATTTATATCATAACCCAATAGTAAATACGCCCATATTCTTAGGGTACCAAGTTTGAAAAGTGGCAAAAGACAAAATATTCTTGATGCGCCGAAATGAAATAAACGCACACATGCTCCCGTGTATGAGAATGCATGATCACGCATACATACAAAGACGAATTCAAGCGCAGGGCAGCCTTCTTCAAAAGCGCCTCTCTGCGACTGAACGACTGAACTCGTGCAATGAGTGCGCGAGCATAAAAATGAGAATAAGAATGAGAGAGTAAAAAACCCGAACGCACACGAAGTGCATGGACCTGCTGCTGTGAGAGCGGTGGACCTTCCGCGGTCCGTTTTTTTGTGTCCAAATGCGTCGTATGAAATGACCAGTCTATATGTTGTATGGTTAGTGGTATAACTATACAGCATAGTTAGTTTTCTGACAATATTAATAAATATTAATATATACAGCATTACTTCAGTCGATTTCAATTTTGTACAGTTTTCTTTCCCATTTTATTTTTTATCTAATGCTCTGGCTATCGATTTTATTTAACTAAAAAATCGGTAAATTGGTTTAATACTGTTATTTTTTTTTAAATCTGCGTACCGTAAACAAAACTACAAATTAGAAATGAGCATTTTAATAATCGATTTAAATTTGTTAACTTTCGATTTTGATCTCAAGCGATCGCTACATATTGTTTAATACAAATTTTAGTTTGATCTGTAGTGTCGTGTCTCTCTAACGGAGAAAGAGAACAAGAAAATGAGTGCGCATATTCTATTATTTTTTTAGTCGCAAATAAACTCTTAGTGCAAGCACGAGCACGGCAGTCCGCGCATTACTACCAGCTCAATATATACATATGTATGTGTGCATGTGCATATGCCAATCGAGTGTGGAATTTCGCCGAAAACGAAAAAACATACAGAACGATCTAGTATACTTACTTAACATACTTCAATAGAGACACCAGAAAATTGGGATTCCCCGTATAATACTCAGCGAAAACCGGCGAATGGAGTCTGCTTTAAATGTATTGACTAGGCTGAAAATTAGAAAATAAAACTTTGCATATACCAATATAAATACTTTGGACATAATGGATATATCAACCGTAAGTGTTATCAAATTGTTGGTTAATGCTTGCTTTTGCCGAAAAAAAATGTCTAAAAGCATAAGGTTTTCTTCGTTCCGAAGAATGAGTGAGCACGGTGATAAAGATAACGTGTATTGTTTGACAACAGTTATTAAAGATTTATAGTAATAATACCATAAATCAGTTGCAAGCAAGTGTGTGTGGTTCCTTGGAGTTCTTATACTTTGGCTTGCTTTCTTTCAATTTGAAACCAGAAGTTTGCTGCAATTTAGCCGAGATATTCGAACGCCTAGTTTACTAAATTGGTTTGCTGATTTATACAAGCCCCTTACCTTTATTAATGCCCAAATAAAAACAGTTAAAATATCGAAATTAATTTACACTATGTACTTTTCTGACATACAAAATTAACTAGCGGTCACAATAGGTTTTTTTTGACTATTGCCATAAGTAGATATGAAATCAAATTCTGAGGTTTTTAGCTTATAAAAGTTATCATTGGTTATTGACCATTTAGTCACATTTTAGAGGGAGCCTTGTGCAGAGCTGCAGAATGAGCGATACGGAAAACTTAGTAAACAGACATTTTGAAACCCTTCGGAAAACTATAAATACTAATTATAATTCCTAACGATTTCATTTCAGATACTAGACAGAACCAAGTTTGTTGGAAAGAAAGTGAGCAAACGTTTACGAAACCCCAGAGGACCCTGCTTCTTGGCCAGTGGCTTTATTCTGTTCTGGCTGCTCCTTTTCTTAGCGGTCGTAGTACCTCTATTCCATCGCGTTCCCGATCCCAAGTCAGTCGAAGATGCCACAAAGGGTGTCTTCATTGCCCAACGAGCAATGGACAATTTATATAATCTGGTCAAAATTGGACCGAAAGTAGTTGGCAGCGAGAACAACGAGGTCAAGACTGTTAACTTCCTGCTTAATGAGTTGGCTCTGATCGAGAAAAACATTCTGGACGAGTACTTCGACATAGAAGTCGATCTTCAGGAGGTATCGGGATCGTACATTCATTGGTCCATGGTGAATATGTATCAGGGAGTGCAGAACATAGTCATAAAGCTCAGCCCGAAGAACTGCACCAGCGAAACGTACCTCTTGGTTAATAGCCACTTCGATTCCAAGCCAACGAGTCCTTCAGCCGGCGATGCAGGTCAAATGGTGGCCATTATCCTGGAGGTTCTGCGAGTGATTTCCACCACCAGGCAAACGTTCACCCATCCAATAATCTTTTTGCTAAATGGAGCCGAGGAAAATCCTCTGCAGGCTTCACATGGGTTCATTACCCAACACAAATGGGCTCCATTCTGCAAGTGAGTTGAGATCTAAGTTTAACACTTTTACTACAGTTAAGTCCTTAATTTCCAGAGCTTTTCTCAATCTAGAAGGAGGTGCGGGTGGCGGTCGTGAGCTACTCTTTCAAACTGGACCCAATCATCCATGGCTAGTAGATGTGAGCCCTATAAAGCATTGTCTCTCTGCCACATTAAATATGAAAACCCTTTAGTATTACAAGAGAAATGCCAAGCACCCATTTGCTACCACAGTGGGTGAGGAAATATTTCAAACTGGCTCCTTGCCCTCTGATACAGATTTTGGTATTCTCACTAAGTACGGAGATCTCATTGGTACGTACTAATCGAAAATATCATGTAATATATACATTTTCCGGCTAATCCACCTGTATGCAGGTTTAGATATGGCTCAAAGTATCAACGGCTTCACCTACCACACGAAGTACGATACCTATGATATTATTCCTTCTAATTCTGTTCAGAGTATGGGTGATAATGTGCTCAGTTTGGTTCGTGCCTTATCCAATGCGACTGAACTGGAAGACACTGCTGTAAGTTTGCTAAATAATAATTGTAATTAATTTACATTATTAAATCATTTCGTAGGCCTATGAACAAGGACCGTCTGTGTTTTTTGACGTCTTGGGACTATATTTCGTCAACTATACCAACAAAACAGCCATAGTTTTAAACTTTTCAGTGGCCATTGCGGCCATACTTCTAATTTACATTTCCCTAGGACGAATGGCGACTCATTCCGAAGTGTCTACGGGTTTTATGCTGTGCTGGTTCTTCCTAATTACAGTCGTACAGGTTCTCGCCATTGCGCTTGGCATTGGTCTACCCATATTGATTGCTAATTGCTTTGATAAAAACGACCTGAGCCTTACTTACTTTAGCACGCAGACTCTGATGTTCGGCCTTTATGTTTGCCCAAGTCTGTTTGGCTTACTTTTGCCGCCTTACATTTTTATCAATCTGCCGCGTCATGTAAGTGGGAAGTACTTTTTTTTTAAATATGCATAAACTAAATAAGTTACTTTGTAGAGCAAGACTTTCTTTCGTCAACAATTGCATATGATTCTTCATGCACATGCCTTTATACTGGCTCTCCTGGGACTCGGATTGACGGTGTACGGTCTGCGAAGCACCTACGTGATAACCTGGACTCTCCTATTCTACGTCATTCCCCTGGCCATCAACCTGATAACCACGCTGCACGATCAAGGAATTTCGTGGACTGGGGCCGTAGTTATCTTCCAACTTTTCTCATTTTTGTACAATAGCTATCTACTATATACTCTTGTCCAGACGATGATTGCCATGATGGGACGCTTTGGCAGGTGGCCTGGAATAAGCTTGTCCTAATCACAAAATACTTATATTATCAGTTTCAGGTCAACGAACCCGGATTTGTTAATGTCTGCTATAAACGCTTTGGGAACTGTTCTGGCAATGGGATTCTTGGTGAGAATAACATTTGGCAAGATCTATACTTTATTTAATTCAATGATGTTTATGTGTTAGGTTCCCATTGTAATTATATTCCGTCGACCTGGTCTAATCTTGCTTACTCTTTTGGCCGTGTTTGGTGTTAGCATTTTGTCAGCCACAATCACCCCCTTGGGTTTTCCCTATAGGCCAAGGACGAGTGTAGAGCGAGTTCCATATCTGGTGAGTAATTTAAAGTCCTTTGGAAGGACATTCCTTAAATCCCACTCCCATTTCAGCATGTTCGGCGTACTTTCTACGAGTACAGTGGAAACGTTAGCAAAGAAGACTCCGGCTACTTGTTCAATTTCCAGGATCGCCGTGGACCCGCTCCCTTGGAAGGCACCAATGTAAATCTGACTGGATTGGTGGGCATTGCAACTGAGTGCGAGAAGCGTATGATGTGTGGCCAGCCACTTTACGATCACCGGTGGGTCAAGAATCGTTTGAATGCCATGTGGCTGCCTCGAGAGGATCTGATCGATCCTCCGTATGTGCCCAAGGTGCAGCTCATAAGCAAAATTATCCAGGCCGACAAGACAAGAGTGCGCTTCAAGTTCACAATTAATACCACGGATCACACCAGTCTGTTCATCCAACCATTTGAGTTCGTGAACATCACCAATTGGTCCTTTCCACTCGAATACATCGGGCAGCAAAGCACCTACCATGTGTACTTCTCTTATGGCAAGAATAGCTCGCCGTTATCCTTCTTTATCGAACTGTCGGTGAGTTGGTCCTTCTTGAGTAAAATTTGTACAAGTAATTTGTATGTTTTCTGCCCACAGAAAGCCAACGGTGACTTCCAAAATCCCCTCTTCCAGTTGGGTGTGTCTGCACACTTTATTGGCAACAAGGGCGATGAACTGAGCCAGAAATTCGCCCAGTCTTTTCCGGACTATGCCGTGCTGATCGAGTGGCCAACCTCCTACCAACGATTCATTTTCTAAAAAAGTTTTACATCTTATACATATGTGAGTTGCAATCGGAAAACCAATCCAACAATCGATACCATAAAACCATATAATAAACATGTTTGATTAACAACACCAGTAACACAAGTGCCAATAATGAACTTTTTTTTTCGATCTTACTTTTTTCTGACTTGAAATGTCTGAAAAATTATAATCTTAATTATATGACTACGTCTGCAGATAACTGGAAATTGGCTCTGTTTAATATGTTTGTATATATCGAGATTTTATTTATGGAGATTTTATTATTATCAAGATGAAAACATAACTAAAGCAAACATGTACTTAAAAGAAGAACATTTAAGTTAATAAACAAGAAATGAATAAATTTCTAGTTTGAATTTGATATGACAATGCTCTGTTTAACCCTTTTAATATCAAATGATTGAAATTGGAAGCGAACATAAATATAATGCTAATTTTTCATTCACACATATGTTACCATCAAAAATACATAAATATTTAATTGCCAATCGCGTGTTGCATATTAAAGTGATCACTTTATGAACCCATAAATAAAGTCATGACAATAAAGATTACCTACAATTGCCTGTCTACAATGGTCTGTTTAAACCTTTTAATATCAAATAATTGAAATTGGAGACGAACACAAATATCATGCTAATTTTCCATTCAACACATATGTTACCGTCAAAAATACATACATAAATATTTAATTGCCAATCGCGTGTTGCATATTAAAATGATCAGTTTATTAACCCATAAATTAAGTCATGATAATTAAGATTACCTACAATTAAGTACTTCAGAGCCACGGGCTGGTGTTATATAAGAAAGAAATGATTGTTGCAATATGCTACTCCTCTAAGGTACTTGGAAACAACTTATGTCGGATTGCGCTGGGCATGAAACCAATCCCAAATCTCTTATCTCTTAGAAATCGAATTTGTCTGAGTTTTCATAACCACATATCGGCATGTTTTATGGTAATTACACACTTGAAAACGCGTGGCCCTCCCGAAAGCTGTTCAAATAGTTAAGAAGGTAGGTCTATCGAAAAGTTCAACTACTTTATAAAAATTATATTCTCGTCAAGTAATAAATGTTTACATTTACAAACATAGTTTACTTATATTATATTACCCCTAATTAAAAAAGGTTTGGTTGTGTTCCAGACATTTTCGATGTACTTAGAATTGTTGAAAAAGGTATTTAAGAGAGATTTTTGCTATTAACAATTTAGAGATATGATTAGAAATTCTTGATTATTTTACGAATAAAAAGGCGGCTGAATTAGGATCCCAGTCAGTCTCGCTTTGGCAACCTTTTTGCAGACAGTGTGCTCAACTGTGCCAATAAACCGAAAACATGGGTGACAAGGACCGACTAGTAAGGACGACTTAACTAATTTGGTTTATTTAATAAACTAAAAGAATTTTTCTTTTCCTTTCCTATTTAGATCCTAGACGAACCCGTCGAAGAAGGAGTGAAATCCTACTCTAGGAGGTCTGGCAAAAAACAGAAAGGGTACTTTCAAGTTCCCTGGTACTTTGCCGGTGGCATTGTTCTTTTCTGGGGGCTGCTCTTCGTCGCGGTAGTGAAGCCACTCTTCTACCGCCTTCCCGAGCCACTGACCGTCGAGGATGCCTCAAACGGAGTCTTCATTGCCGAACGTGCCCATGCCAATCTGTACGAGTTTGAATCCATCGGTACCAAGGTGGTCGGCAGCGATGGAAACGAGCATAAGACTGTGCAGTTCCTCCTCAAAGAGTTGAATTTGATCAAGGCAAATATGCAGACGGATTACTTTGACATGGAAATCGATTTGCAATATGCCTACGGTGCGTATGTGAAATGGAACCTGGTCAACATGTATCAGGGCATCCAGAACGTGGTGGTTAAGCTCACTCCCATGGGCAGTACCAGCGAAAACTACATTCTGGTGAACAGTCACTTCGACTCGCAGCCCACTAGTCCATCTGCCGGTGACGATGGCCACATGGTGGTCTCCATTCTGGAAGTGCTGCGCGTGCTGTCGTCGTCCAAACAATCATTCGAGCACCCAATTGTCTTCCTGATCAACGGATCCGAGGAGAACTCGCTGCAGGCCTCCCACGGATTTATTGCATACCACAAATGGGCCAAGAACTGCAAGTAAGTTGGGGGATAAGACTTAAATGGAGTGCCCAAAACCTATTGAAATTATTTGCTTAAAGGGTTGTTATCAATCTGGATGCAGGTGGCAGTGGAGGCCGCGAACTTATGTTCCAGACAGGACCAAACAACCCATGGCTAGTCAATGTAAGAATATTTTGGATTCATTTTTCAATTCATATACCTAATAAATTAATGTATCATAGGTATACAGGAAGGGCGCCAAGCATTACTTCTCCACCACCATGGCTGAGGAAATCTTCCAGACAGGTCTGGTGCCCTCTTATACCGATTTTGATATATTCGTGGAGTACGGAGACCTTATTGGTGAGCTAAGCTAACTCCAAGATTAAATGTTTTGCAAGGACTTAGCCTGATTTCATGACAGGTTTGGATATTGGCCAGTGCATCAATGGATTCGTCTATCACACCAAGTACGATCGCATTGATGTGATTCCCCGGGCTTCTCTTCAGAACACTGGAGACAACCTTCTCGGTCTGGTTCGAACCCTGTCCAATGCCACCGAGTTGCGTGACCTCAGCGTAAGTTACTCTCTATTATAAATTAGTCTTTGATTTAACCATTGCAAATCTGTTAATTAGGCGAACCCGAATGGAAACACCATCTTCTTTGACGTCCTGGGACTGTTTCTCATCAGCTATTCGGCCGATACTGGCGTGAAGCTTAACTATGCCGTTGCTGCAGCCGCCATTATCCTGGTCTATGTATCCTTGCTGCGCATTGCTGATAGGTCAAATGCCAGCTCCGAACAGGTCTTGAGCTCCTTCGTCTTGGTCCTCGTTGTCCAGGTGGTCGCCTTTGTTTTGGGTCTAGCCCTGCCTATGGTGGTGGCCTATGGATTGGACAAGTACGGCTTATCCCTCAGCTATTACGCCACACCATCGCTTTTGGTCGGCTTGTATGTGTGCCCGAGTCTCATTGGACTCGCTCTGCCCAGTTTCATCTACCTGAAGCTGAAGAGTAATGTGAGTTGATGTAAGTTTAGGGCAAAGACTTTAGGGGACTAACCACTACTATCCCAACAGGATAAGAGTTCGTTTGCCCAACAAGTTCAGATGGCTCTTCATGGACACGCCGCTGTGCTCTCCGTCTTCTGCATTGCTATCAATTACTATGGACTACGCACCACCTACGTTGTAACATGGACCCTTGTCTTTTACGTAATCCCCTTGGCTTTCAATCTGCTTACCACCCTGCATGATCGTGGCTTTTCGTGGACGGGCATCCTGAAAATTGTCCAAGTGGCTCCGTTCCTGTACAACAGCTACCTCTTCTACTGCTTCATTGTGATACTCACTCCAATGATGGGCCGCTTTGGACAGTAAGTGATGTTTATTAAATATTATTAAGGCAGAATTGATAGGAATTTATCCATATTAAGGGACACCAATCCAGACATAATAATTGGTGCTTTGACAGCCTTGGGAACCATACTCTCTATGGGTTTTTTGGTGAGTTTTCCCACTCTTCGAGGTCCTTAGCTATGCTTTACTCTTGGCTAATCCCTTTTAGATTTTACTGGTTAATATATCCCGTCGATCCGGTTTCGTTATCCTGACTCTGTTCACCGTAGCCGCCGCCTCTGTGTCTTTTGCTGCTTCCGATTTCGGATTCCCCTACCGCGCCAAGACCAACGTGCAGCGAGTTCCCTATTTGGTTAGTTGTAAATTACTTAAGTTAAATGAAGAATTCTACTGACATCCAACTCAATTGCAGCAAGTGCGCCGGGTGTTCTACGAGTACGATGGAACCGTCAGCAAGGATGAGTCCGGATATCTGTTCAACTTCCAGGATCGTCGTGGAGTTACTCCGCTGGAGGACAGCAATGTGGATCTGACCGGCCTGGTCAACATGACGTCCGATTGTGCGAAGTATATGATGTGCGGCATGCCCCTTTACGATCACCGTTGGGTGGAGGCGATGGATGCTACCATGTGGTTGCCTCGACAGAATCCCGTCTGGACGCCAGCGGAACCGATCCTGGAGCTTCTCAGCAGAACAGTCCTGCCCGATGGCAAGACCATTCGCTTTGAGTTCAACTTAACCTGCACGGACCACACCAGCATTTTCATTCAGCCCAACGAGGATGTGACAGTCAGCGATTGGTCGTTCCTCGAGGAATACTTAACCACCGTCACGCCTCCGTATCACATTTACTACTCCTACGGAATCGACAGTACTCCACTGAAGTTCTCCATGGATCTAACGGTATGCACTTCGAGCATTATAATTAAACTTTTTCATTTCATTTTAATTTATATCTTTAGAAACCCGATGCCGACTTTGATGTTCCACTTTTTGAAATTGGCATCTCGGCCCAGTATATGCATGTTGATGGCGATGCAGAAGCCGTGGCGTTTGCTAAAACTTTCCCCGACTACGCCGTCACTATTCAGTGGCCAGCTATCTATAAGAAATATGTATATTAAATTGTTATTATATAACAAAATACAAGATAAACAAATACATACAAATCAGTTAAAAATAAGATTTTTATACCCAATTTTTTCGATCTTTTCGAATATTTTAAAGATATTTTTGATCAAAATTTGCATTTATAATGGATCGGAAGGATCTCCTAAATAATTCGAATTTTGAATAGTCTTTTAAGGATCATATTTTTAGGAGTCTAAACTTTCAAAACATACAAAAAAAATGTTTTTTTTTCAAATTTCTAGACCAGAAACCCCCCTTAATAACACAGGTGAACTGTGTGTCAAATACGTTTCGAGGCGATGTACACTGCTCTTTTTACATACATGTCAATCATTTTTTTGACAATGTTAATTAAAATTTTACATGGTTTTAACAAATGCTTCTGTTTAAGAATCCTGCCTAGAAGTGCTTGTTTTGGGTCACTTTTCTGCAAAGTCAAACCAAAATTAATAACTAAAATCTGAACGCTACAATTTAAGTCGTTACAATGAGCATACAAATGTGTATGTTAACATAATTCATATTCAAACTACACAGAGCTCTTATTTAGACGCAGAAAATTGAGCTTTTATCGTTCCTTGATAATACATTTTTAAGAGCAAAGACAAAAACGCGTGCGATATGGTTAGGTATATGTAAAACGCGTTTAATTCGGAATAAGCTATTTAAACTTAAAGATACATGTAAACAATGAAAAGCTGTGCGCTACTGGCTGTGCAGCAGCTTATTGAAGTCGGCGTAGGCCGACTCC